TATTCTGACAAGTCCCTGTATACCCAGCTGTGCTTTTACCGGTACATTTTTGATGTGGAGTATGCACTGGAGAAACTTATTACCGATCATGAGAAAGGTACGTTAAAATACTGTAATTACCTTTGAGTTTAAAGTGGAAATTTGCATCATAAAAGCCAGACCTACTGTGTCAGGCTGTTCGTGCAGCATCACGTTGCTGTCTCAGAAGCAGGCTGTGGGGGCCTCAGTGAACACAGGGATCCCCTGCATGAGGGGCGGCAGCATAGGAATCCCCATCTTTGGGCCCCACAGCCTGTCTCACATTGTTCTCTATTAAAGCAGGGCTTTGAGGGAGGAACCGCACAAAAAAAGACTCTAAATGCTATATTTTGAAAATGCTATTTTCTATAGAGTTTAGTAATTGTAATAAAGTAAGCATAGGCAACGTGATCATTGGGCCTACAAAAACCAGATATTACCACCAAAAAAATAGACCTGAAGTGTGTCTCTGCTGTTCACTAAAAGCCTAGGTTCATTTTGAAAGAGAAGAACGAGGTGGAGTTCTTTTATTGACTCCATCCTAAGAGTGTACAGACGCCTCAGCCCATGTGATCAGGTGCCGCCTGTAACCCTCTGCACCCCGCGTTCCCTTATACAAGACGTGCAGGCTTTGTAGGACCTAATAGGCCTGGGAAAAGCTTTGTTACATAACTTCAAGTATTTGAAAATGTCATGACAAGTGCATGTTGGGGGGTTTTTCTCTGCTACCTGAAAATCACATTGACAACTTTTCTATTACCTAAAAAAAAATTAACACAAATTTACACATTTTTCTTATTAGATACCTACAGAGTGTTTAGTATGTTGTTTGTCAGCTTAGATCAATTCAACGTTTTGTTGTTCGGTATTAGGGCTGGAGGCAACCTCAACAATATATATAAAAACCTGCAAACAAATTCTGCCCACGTAAGAGTGTTCACGCAATGGGCCCCAACATTTTCTGCATTTCTGGAGAGTATTAAAAGTAGGATTTTCTTTTCCCAAAAAATAGTATACTAGAATAAGAAATATCTATTAGTTATTTTCAAAAGCATTAAGATTCTCTGCCCTGATGTTGCTGTTTTCAGTTCCAGTCATCATTGATAACAAGTTTCCTATCTACAAGATAAACTAGAATTTACAAAGTTTTTTTAAATGCTTTATGTGTAGTTGGTTTTGCTGTCCTTGGATATAAAGCTTATTAAGACTCATTAAAGAGCTGGTTCAACTATTAGGATCTTGTTTTCAGGTGTTCAACCAAAGACTTGACATAGTTTCAATGAATAGATAAAATTTATTGAGAGGGAATTTCATTTGTCCATTAATATTCTAGGCTTTAGAAATTCCATTCAGCGCTAGTATCCAACCTTGTTTATAGCTGTTTTCCGTTAACCCCCAAGAAACATTCTTAATTTTAAGGCAGTTATGTATTGAGAATGTATCAGAATTTTCCATGACCCCTTCTCCTTTCAGGGTATCGGTTGCTCTTGTGTCATCTTTTGTGAGTGACATCTTGCTTTGCTCTTGAATATTGTGTGGGATGGTTTGCTTTCTTCGAGACATTGGCATGTGCTCTTGAGATCAGATGGGTAGCTACCAAGCTTGTGCGTTTCTCTGACTTTATGACTTCAGAAAAATGTCAGTTCAGCGCCTGCTAGGGCAATCTCTTGTTGCTAAAACAGGTCAAGGTACCCCTGTTTAAAGGCAAGTTGATTGCCCAGACGTGTAGGTACTGGGGTGGAGCCAAATGGGGTGAGGCAGGGAAAGTGTTGGGTGATCGCAAGGGCAGGTCAATCACTTGGAGGACCTTGCTCAAACCTCTGCTGTCTCCGTGTGTTCACGACAGGAGTCCTAACTCAAATTCCTGCTGTTTCCTACCCAATGGTTTTCTCAGTGTTCCCTGCCTGGTGGCACTTACGCAGGTGCCCTCTCACAATAGCCCCTGCTCCAGCAGGGTCCTGGATCCAACGGGATCCGAAAAGTCAAGGTCAAGTTCCCACCCACCCACTAGCCTCTAGCTAGTCTGCAGAGTTCACAGAAGCCTGCTGGCTGGCTTGTTTTGGGCAGTTGGTGTAGCCCAAGAGAGCTCGGCCAAATTCCCCACCTGTGGGCGTTCCCTTAGGTGCTCTCCCCGGTAATCAGCAATGCCCCAATAAACACAGATAAGATCCTACCGGCCTTTCTCCTGCCAGGTTAGTTCCTCAACAGCTCACCTGATAGCTCCAGGTGATGTCTGGATCCAAGGTGGTGCCCCGAGGTCACAGGGCTGCGGTGGGGGTTGTGGAGCTGCAAGGGGGGTGGGGGAAGGGGAGGAAAGCAAGGGAATAGGGGACAAGGAGCGCAGGGGTTGGACACTATCACCAAGAGGTGGGGACGGGGCTTGTGTGCTGCTGGGGGTTTATGCAGCAGCACCCTGTGTGCTAAGGGTCACACAGGTGTGGGCTGCAGGGGGGTCCCACAGTGTCCGGCAGTCCCTGTTCCTCTGGAGTTCCACGGCAGGTGGCTGACTGCTGCTCTCCCCGGGTCTCTCATTTCCTGATGAGTCCGTTGTCTCTATGGCATCTTTTCTGGGGTCGGTGTAAAGGGGAAGGCCTTTTGCTTCTGTTCCCTCGATGTTCTTAGGCTCCCGGGAGAGCAAATCCTCTTCTGGGTCTCTCCAAAATTTGTACATTTGAGGCTGAATGCATTTTTTATAATCTGCAGTTTTTTAAAAGTCCTGCTGACTCTCGCAGACTAGGAATAGTAATTTGGAAAGTCTTTCGAGACCTCCCCTGCTGCTTAGAGAACATCCCAGAGATCTCTGCTTCTTAAGGAGCCCCGCAGAGAATGCATGTTGCTTGCTTGACCAAGAGGAAGGAAGAGAGCAGCCACTTGGAAGCTGCCTGTTTGAAGCATCTATATGCTCACATGGCTTCACTGGACCCTCATTTCAGAAGTTTGAGGCTCAAGATACTTTTTTGTTTGTTTCCAATAAGAACACCCAGCACTTCATGGCAAAAATGGCTCTCAGTATTGATGGGTTCTTTTATATGTCAGAAAGCTAAAGAAAATAGAGAAGGTACGAAATATATATGCATCTGATATGACAGAAGAAACTTCATGAAATATTCCACAAGCTTTTCATTTTATTTATGGAATTTTTAACTATTGAAAATGTTTTTACTTTAAGCTTCCTTCCACTTATCTATTCCTAAATTATATGTTCAGAATGAGCATACCATTGAAATTTAGGTGCTCAGGGTGTTTTCAGATCACTCTCTAGTGAGAAATGAATGGTGTCAGGGCATTTTTTAGTGGTAGGATATTAACTGACTGGGTCATACTTATACATGGTTCCAGGGCAGAAGTCCATGTGAAATTTGATAAAACTGTCTTAAGAGTAACATTATAAATTCAAATACTCACCTAGATTCTAACTCACACGGTGTGGGTAATATTTTTAGAAAGTTCTCTAGTTATTCCTGTGTGCTACAAAATTTTATCTTTTCAAAACTTTTATATTTGCTAGAAAGTTTTGTAGATTTCAGATACTGTGTCCTGCATTTCCTGAATGAAACAGTTGGGTGGTTCTAAATAAAAGCGACCTGAATACAGGGTGTAGTCCATCCCAGGAACAAGTCCTTAAGTATAAAATTATGTGGTATGCATATAAAAATTTACTTCTCACTTTACAAGTCAGAACGAAAGACTCTCTTCCAAGTTATTATTCAAGGTAAACCTGTTATAAAAATGAATTTTAAATCTATGGGATCCAAGAGGCCAAGTATATTTATCTATCTAATCTGGACTATGACCAGAGCGCCAGTGATGTTAATATCAAAGTCCTGTGAAAAATGACAGTCGTTACACACAGCTACATTATTGAGAATGGAGTCTAAGTCTCGTCTGTCAACACGGATCCTATACCAGGCACATGGGGTATTTACTGTAGACTCTTTACTGTCAGTACCTAGCAACATTTCCTTCACTGAGGTTGTTTTACCATTTCCATTATAAAGCCTGTATTTTAAAGGTTGTAACTAGGTGGTGGTTTTAATTTTTGTTTGCAACTTGCCAATTTGACTTGGGAAGAAATATGTACAAATTATTTGAAAGGGGTTTATTTCTTTTTATGGTGAATAGTAGCCCTTGCTGAAGCTTTTTCCTGCACTCAGCTTTCAAACGAGGGCTTAAAGGCCATTAGTCCATAATGTGAATTAACCCCATTTGGTATTTTCCCCTTTTCTTTAAAATGGTGAAGGACTGTTATTCAGTTTGGTGAAGTATTTACTGCATATGTACTGTAACTACATAATATTTTTTAAAAAAAATCTTATTTTTACGTGACGTTGGTATTATTATTATTAGTGTAACTGCTCCAGGATGTACACAGATGGCATAAATGGATCCAGAGGAGGTTTTAGAGGAACACAGCAGCAAAATTGGGGGGAAAAAATCCCTCTACAGGATGGCAGCACGTAATGGTCCCATTTGTGTTTGCCTCATCCCATGGCTCCTCGGCCTGAGTTGTGAGACGTGAACAATTTGATGCAGAAATGAATCAATTCAAAACTTTGTCCATTTGTCTGCATTAAATCCATTTAAAAATAGAGGAAAAATAGAGAAAAAGAAAAATTTCTCAACTGAATTTTATTTTTTGTCTTGTTTGATCACCAACAATTGGTGGTGCAGGAAGCGAGGGGAATCAATTCCTATTATGTATGTTGGAAGCTCTGGTGGTCTACTTGTAAGAAGCTGTGCTGCAATCCCACAGGCACGTGGTTCAAATACACCACTCCTCTGAACAAAGATGAGCAATCTCTTCCCAGGGGATTAACTGTCTCTGAACACAACAACAACATTGTTTATGTAATGCTGTCTCTGACCCTGATGTCGCAGAAACAAAAATGTCCGGCACTGAGGAGCTAATGTCTGATAGCGAAAGACAGATTGCATAGCAGCTGAGCATGAGATGGCACGTGTTGTCTCAACCGAGCTGGCCAAATTGTTTTGGAAGCAAAGAGAGGTAGCCACTGACTGCCTTTTCCCTTTACCCTTTGATCTTTCTTTTTTCCTCGAAAGAAACTTTCTATTTCTGGA